GCAATCGGGTCACAGGCCAAGAACTTCCAGGAAGGTTCTTCAGAGCGTCCAGTCGTGCGCGTGCATCCACACAGTGCGTTGTGGAGCCTATAAAAGGCCGCCCTCAATGGATTGAAGGTGGGGGAAAAACTACAGATGTGAGGACATAGCGCAACAAGGTGGGTACAAACAAGTTAGGCAATAAGAACATTAGAATTCTAATTCTATAGAATGCATAGTAGAGGCAGATTTCAGAATGAAAATACAAAGTAACTTTGATGAGGAAAATAAAAAATGCGTGAGTAATGCTAATAATACAATAAAATAACATAAAGACAAGGGGATTCATATGTTAGGATTAATGTACATCAGTGGGCAGTTCCATTAGTATTTCAGTCAGGTATTTGTAAGATTCGATACATTCAAGAGATGTCAAATATAAATTAAATTCAGATAAAAAAATACTAAAGATAGGGGAGGATCTCAAGACTCTCTGTTTATGAATAAAGAATTTTGCTAAACAAAAAATTAGGTTACAACAGAGTTCTATTGTTTTGTCTTTCAATAGTATTCCAAAAACTACCATATCTCTAGAAATAGAATTAGGGAGTGCAATTTTTGATTTGATCCATCTTTCTAAACAATTCCAAAATGTTTTAGTCTGACTGCATTCATAGAAGACATGGTCTATAGTTTCTACATCACTTTCACAGAATGAGCATTTATTGTCATCAATATTAAAAACGAATTCTTAGTAGTTCTTTTGATGGGTAGATGGCATTTAAAATTTTAAAGTGAGTTTCTTTAGCTTGTGGTTGTATAGGAAGTTTAAAAGAAAAGTTCTTAGTATTTCAATTGATTTTTGTTCAAATTTGCAAAGAATTTTATTTTTATTTATTTTCCCAGGGACCAAAGTTTCATTTAGATAGTTTCTAATTGTGTGGTTATTGAATTTTTGATCAGTGGTTGATATTCTATTAATAGATATATCGGGTAGTTTGGGGGTAATTGGATGATATATTATTATATTTTGAATCTGATTAATAAATTGTTCTGGCAAGGCGTTAAGTAATCTTGTAAATTCATCTTTTGGAGGAAGGAACTGATATTTTGTACAGAATTGTTCGTAATTTAATATGTAACCATTAGTGTCCATTAAGTGTATAATAGACCAAATATTCTTCTCCATCCAATCTTTGTAGAATAATGACTTATTGCGATGTAGAATAAATCTATTATTCCATATGATAGAGGAGTGTGGCGAGTAGTTATGAACATATATCATTTTCCATTTTTTCTACAATGTTAACTGTGCTTTATTGGGGATTTGCCTTCCTGTTTAGTTGGGCTGTCCCAATTGGCTGATTATTGGTGGGTCTATTTAAGGGGCACACTCCCAATGGCTTAGGGGTCTGCTTGGAGAGACTGGTTGGAGAAAGTGCTCTTGAAGGTCTGCTTAGAGAGACTATATTTAAAGTCAGCTTGCTGTGAGGCTGTCAGTGTTTTGTATTGCCTGCAATGGCCGGTTTTGTTTTCTTTATTTGAAAGTATTTTGTTTGTTTTGTTTTTTTTTGTCTTCACCGTTGCACCAGTAAACCGCTACACGCTTTTGAACTGGAATTTTGTTGTCCGCTGGTTCTTACCACCTTTTTGCAAGTCATCTGCTTACACCTCCTCTGACGTGAGATGGGAGCTGGCGAGCCCTTTTCTCACAAATACCAAATTCAGTCTAATTGGATGGGAATCTACGTTGCATTTGACGCACCACTACAAGATGAATCGACAGATTCGGCGGTATTCATTGGCGGCAAATCATTGCAGCTTGGTGGCGGTGGCGTTAGCATAGTAGCATGGACGACGAGATGATTGAAAATGAACACAACGGAGATCTAGTCCTATTGGCAGACATCCATTTAAAATGTAGGCAACGGCATGAAAAAAGTGGTTTCTACTTTTACTTTTATACTTTAAGTAAATTTACAAGCCTGTACTTTGTTACTTTTACTTGAGTAAAGAAGTTTAATCAGTACTTCCACTTTTACCAGAGTATTTTTTAACACAAGTATCTGTACTTTTACTCAAGTACAGAAAGTGAGTACTTTTGCCATCTCTGGTCATATCATAGATGGGGACTGGGACTCGTCGTGGATCCTTATAGATTTTAAAATATTTTACTTTCTAAAAATTTGTATTGCGGATCTGATCTTGCTCTTTAATGTATTTGGTCACTCCTTAAAAGGCACCGAATGAATGGTTTTAACTTCACAATTATAAAGAAATAAAATATGAAGAGGAATCATACAGTAGATGAAAACAATTATCCAGTTTTCTTCATTAATGATTAGATATGAAGTAAAAACAAAGTAAACCAGACATTAAACAGAGTCAGTATGACACCATTAATAAATTAGTAGCATTAACAACTGGAAACCTCTGACAATCCAGCAGCACAGGTTCTGCCAGGCCATTTCAGCACCATGGACAGCACCATGGAATTAGACAAAAGTTTCCCTCAAAGTGGGTCAACTAAAGTAGATTTAAACAATTGGCTAGAAAATGACAACTAGAAGCACAAATACACTAAACAATGATGGATGCCACACAGACTAGTTATAACTGAATAATGAAGTTACATGTGCTCAACCCTGACAGAGTAAAGAACAAGTGTACCAGGTGTGTCGTTAACGCAATAATCAGACAGACACTGTGGGTCACAACAAAGACAGCAATGGAAACTCTATATTAAAGAGACTTCCTACATCAAATATCACTTTCTGTGAATATAGGTACATATATGCACAGAGAGAGAGAGAGAGAGGAGAAGACAGGTTGTCATATAACTTATCACGTCAAATTAACCTCTAATTTAATTTCAGAAACGCTCTGATCTAGACTGATTTTATTTAATTCTTCTACACTTGTATCCCTACTCATAGAGTCAGGGACAGACTTTCCCTCTTTATTTTCTGTTTGTTTTTGTTTGTGTTTTTTCCCGGCATCAGTCTGTCAGTCTGATTGTGTGTGCAGCATTACCACCCCCCCTAGGCCTTTTATCCGCCACTGGTCTACAATGATCTTAAAATACCTGCAAGGAAATGTTCAGTGATGGTGCTGCAGCGCTCTTATGTCCCCCATATGCAATGTTTATCTAGGATCAGTGACCAGCTCGTCAGTAGTTTTCAGGAGTTAAACACAAATGTGACAGATTTCTTGATAATTGCTCCTAAACACATGCAAGCAAAGATCTATCATAGGATTACCTACTTTACATTCAAGCAAAACCACGAGTCAAAAAATCTAGGCGTCACATTTGACTCTTTATTAGGTATAGATTCACACATCTGATTTATTTCTCCCAGCTGTTTCTTTTATTTAAGAAACACTTAAAGATATTAGATATTATTATCCATGCATTTTTTTCCTCCTGTTAAGGCTACAGTAATGATCTTTTTTATGCCTTCTGCATTCAGAATGCATTCTCCCAAACCACTGCAGTCTGTCATTTCTTACACCGGAGCCAAGCTGAATTTAAAAATGGTTTTAAAGTTCTTGTGCTAATTAATGGCGAGGCTCCAGGCGTAAGCTTTTCACTCAACACTCTGTCCCTTATAACCTTATTTTAAAACACAAACCCTAAATATCCTTAAATTTCCTCATGCCTAACCTCTGGTTCCTAAATTGTAGAACAACCTACTACTGCAACTTTGTTTTTTTATGTTATATAGAACTAAGAAAGAGCTGAATTAGATCTAAGCGCCTCAGCTAACCCTGGAAATCAATCAACGTGTGTTTGGTTTAGTGCTACCCTTTACATTGTTGTCCATAAGACCAGGACTTTTAGGGTCCGAGACCGAGTCAAGACCAAGACCAGCGCCAGTATGTGACAATAAAATGTTAAACATGATCAAAATCACTAAAATTGATCTAAAAGACCCGCATTCACATAAAAACACCTAGATATTTAACACACAGAACTGGACTAAACATTAACATCTTTATTTAGTACTTCTGTGTAGTAATCACAAAATTTTTCAAACAATTAATCAAAGTCGATCAAAATAGTATTTTCTCTGCCGTTCATGAACAGTACATAATTTTATGTTGTTTTTAAATGTGCTATTTCAAAACAATGTGCAAAATTCTGTAAAATGTGTAAAACTTAAAAAAGCCAATAATTTCTCTTGTTTCTCTCTCATATACAGATTAAAGCTATATCATATAACTTTTCTTAAATAAATCCATATTTGTCACCAAGTTGTGAAATATGTTATGAGATAATTTTTTTAAAAAATAGATTGATCTCCTTCACTGCATTTACCAATGAGACTGAGGTTATTGCTTGGATTTGAATCCAAGCATCCAATAAAAAGAAGGATCTTAAAGAAACTGATAATATTCTGATGATTAGCGTTATTTCCACAGTTGTGGTCTTGACCGGTCTTGAAATAAAATGCCGAGTCCTCAGCGCCCGAGACCGAGACGAGACCGAGACCAAATGCAGTCAAGTCCGAGATGAGACCATCAAAAAATGGTCTTGAGACCGAGACCGACCTCGAGTACTACAACACTGCACCTTACTGTAGGTTTTAGACTAAAAACAATAAATATCCAACTAAATAAGAACAGTACTTTTACCCATAGATGGGATTCCTTCTAACTCACAGGAAGTTTTTTCCAACAACCACTATTTGGTGTTTCTTAACTTTATTTTTTTGTTATTATAAAAGCATCATGAAAGCTTAGTGCTGGAATCATTTCCTCCATCATTGGTTGAACTGGGCTCAGGGTGAAATAGTGTTTTTATAAATAAGTTCAAACCTGAGATCTTCCCCAGACATTCATGTTGGGCTGCAAACATCCTGACATTTATCATTGCTGCTCTTCCACTGAACTTTTTCACCAGCTGGGATGCTGATCATGGTGATCCAGTCACAACCAAGGTGAATCCTGCCCCGGGCACGCGCAGCACGGAGCGCGCTCTCGCTCACGTGTCACGGGCGGGGGCGGGGTGCGGAGGAGGAGGAGGAGGAGAAGTGAAAATGATGGCGACCGATGCAGAGGAGATAAGAGCCCAAAGCAGCCTCAGCCCCCTGTCCATGCAAATCAGGCGGAAAAGGCAGGACAGACAGTGGAGGTTGCGGTGTGTTTACCTGCAGACCTGTGAGTACCAGCAGCTTCATCATAGCAGGAAAACACGCAGGTTTGCAGAAACAGATGATGACAGACGCGCTGAATGTCTTTGCTCTGGCGCGTCATCATCAAATGTCCAAAGAAACTGACCTGCAATAAACCCGGGGGGGGGGGGGATTAAATGATTATTAACAGCGACCTGGGGGGGTTACTGTTGTTTAACATTTACTGTAATCAGCTTGATGTTATTTTCCCCTTTAAGCATCAATCAGGAAGCGGTTAAACCCGGAGTCAAAGTTTAAGCCAGAAATGTGATTTCTAAAATCTCCTTATTTACAAAAAAAATATATTTTTTTACACATTTTATGTTCTCATTTTTTTTTTCAAGTTTTTTTGCTTTAAAGGAAAAGTCTGGTCAACAATGAATGATCAATACCTAAAACTAATACGTTCATATTGATTTAATGGATTTAGCGTTAATAAGTAAAAATGAAAAACAAATTTTTGTTTTTCATCGCATCACTGAGTCTGGAAGCGGCCATTTTTGCACAAATATAGTAACACCAACCTCCTGACTTCTCAGAAAGTTCACATGTTAATTGACCCTGATGAACGGGTCCACCCCTTAGGAATGGGGGTCATTTGGTTTCTTTGTTAGTCTGCAATGCCCCATACCTGTCTATGTCTCTGAAAGGGGGGTCGTTTGAGGGAATTGTTGACCTGGCTGAATAGGTGAGGTCTTCTGTTCTCCTGTAAAGGGATGGAGGTTGCGATGATAGCAGGAAGGAATCAACTCATTTGCCGAATTGTAGTTTTTTTAAAAACAGAAATCTGAGTCCACCCCCTCTCAGCAGCATATCCCGCCATCTTCCAGCAGTGACGTCACGGTGCGGTAAGCCTAGCGCCATTCTCCCCGCTTTACAAGCTAAATCAATGGGAACTACTAGACACATCTGCAATCAACAACAATTATTGAAGATTTCCAGAGGACTTCACCATTGAAATTCACCAGAGCTATAGTGAAACTGACAATGCCCACGTGCATGGCAGCTGGATGCTGGAATACATCGGGTAAAAGTGAAAAAAAGAGTTATTCCACCTTTCTGATTCCTGATCCTCCACGGACGGGTTGGTCGTTGGATCGCCAACTTGAAGAGGGAGGATTTGCCATCGAACTTCTGGCCAGAGAAAAAACCCGTAATATGTAGCCAACATTTGGAAGAAGAATGTTTTCAAGATGACTTGGATAATAGCGCGTTGTGACAAACACCAGATACAGCACTGGGACTTGATCAACAGCCGATACCGCACCGTGACAATGTCACTAACCAGTAGGTGGCAGTAGTGTTCTTTGACAAACATGGATGCCTCCAGTAAAGCACATTCACATGGAAATTACTCTGAATTAAAAACACTGATCATTTATTGAACAGGATGGAATCATTTCACATTTAAAGAACTTTCAGAAGTTTGAATTCTGAATATGAGCGACTTTTCCTTTAAATTGTAGTTTATGAATTGCAGTCTTTTTAAATTGAGTTTTACAGATGATGTTCTCTTCATTTTTGGGAGAGGGCTTTGGGGTGAAAACGCATTTCTATTGGTCTACTGGATGTTGGCATTCCTATTTGTCCAGAGTGAGTGTTATTAGTTGCTTGGTTTGATTTGCTATTGTTCCCTCAGACTGTAAACTGCTTTAGCTTCAATTTAAGGTTGTCTTTCTTTTGGTTAAGGGTTTATTTTTTAATAAAAGTTTTGACAAAAATATGACATAATGGTATAAACTTATAACTCTCTATCTGATTTCCAGACCTCACCTTTTAGTTAAATTCAATAAAAAGATAACACTAAGGATATTACATCACATGAATATTTGGGGTTTAACTGTTCTGGCTAAATTTTAAGCTTTGTAGTTAAAGTATTTTTAAACTAATTTAAGAACCTCTAAAAAATGCAGACTCATTATAATATGAAATATTAAAAATATATCAGTAATCATATATATATATCAGTAATGCTGTGAGAGAACGTCTCTACAGGACCTAAAAATTGTCCGAATTTATAAATCATGCTGTAGTGTTTGCTGTGAGCTGATGTGTGTCCCTGTCTGGGCATCAGACTGACCACCATTTTTCTGATTTCACCTTTAAATTGAGGAGAGGTGGTTAAAAACTGAGGGAAATTTGTTGGTCTTCTTCAGCTATTTTGTGCTGGTTAGCTCAGTTAATGGTAAGGGTTTCACTGTGTTTTTTTTTTTTTTCCGGGGGGGGGGGGCTCAGTGTTTTATTGTTATTTCACTGTCACAAGTACAGAGTACAGAGCAACTAAATTCACTCTCTGCATTTAACCCCTCCCCTCGGGGAGCAGTGGGAGTGGGTTTCGAACTCAGAATCTCAGGATACCAAGCTCTATAGCCTAACCACTAGTCCACCACTCCCCTCATGATTAGGTTACCTAACCATTAACTAATGGTACTGGTTAGGATTAGTGTTGAAAATGACTGAAAATCAAAGGAAGTCAACATGCGGTCCTCACTACCTATGGAAAGGCGAGAATGTGTGTGTTTGTGCTTAAGAGAAAAAGCGATTGCCCTTCTTTCTGTTGACCTGAGGGCTGCACAACAAAGCTTAAAGAAGTTCAATGCTGGGTTTGTTCCTCTATGTTGAGGAAAAAGCAAATGTTTTTGTAGTCTAAAAACTAGATCTCCATGGTAACAGAGGGATAACTTGTGACCTTTTCAGAGAAGTTCATCAGGGTAGCAATCTTTGTGTTTTGAACAGAGAGCATCTGGTTCCAAGAGTAACAAACAAACATGAGAATATTTTTCTTCTCTAAATGCAGGGTGTCAGATTTAACCTTTTTCAAGATTTTAGTGCCTAATTTTCTTTGCTTTTGTTAGAATATTTTGTGACCTCAGTAAGTGAGAGCTGTTATTCTGTTTCTTCATACTTCAAATTGCCTGCACTGAAAAAAATGGTGTACCTTTAAATAGAAAAAGCTAGTTAACTTTTTCCACATAGAAATTCTTTGCAAATTTCACTCGATGACATCTTAGTTGATTTCACTTACTTTTACTATTTTACTACCAAATGTTACATGGAAACAACTATGCACAATCAAGAAGAATCTAGAGAAGCCACTTAACTCAACAGTCATGTTTTTGGACTTTAGGAGGAAGCTGAAGTACCCAGAGAGAACCCACTCATGCACAGGGAGAACATGCAAACTCAATGCATATGATCAAACTTGGAACCTTCTTGCTGCAAGCCAACAGTTCTACAAACCGCGCCACAGTGCGGCCCATCATTCTTCATTTCCTTTTTTTATGTTTTGGTTTTTAGTTTTAGACATTTGGGGTCTTATTTATTAAACAATATGTAGGATCCATATAAAAGTATCCGTATATATACTGATTTTTAAAAACCACCATGATGCACAAAAACAATGAATTTTCCTTTACAATTCCCGCCGTTTGCATTCAGTTCTATTCAGTTTATTTCTATAGCTCCAATTCCCATCATGTCATCTCAGGTCAGTTTATAGATCCAGATCATCCAGTCAGATTGATTCAAAGTTTTCTATCTAAGGAAAACCAGCTCATTGCATCGACTCATTGACTCTTCAGCAATCCCTCACACTAAGCATGCTTGTAGCGACAGTGGAGAGGAAAAACTCCCTTTGAACAGGAAGAAACCTCCAGCAGAACCAGGCTCAGTGTGAGCGGCCATCTGCTGAGGCCCACTGGGGTTCAAGGAGACAGAAGCAGACATAGAAAAAGAAGCATAGATACAAAAGGCAACTGTCAACCAGCTCCACAGGCGGCCCCGTCCAGGAAACACACAGCCAGGCAGACGAGCTCCGAGCCAGCTCCCATGTCAGAGGATGAAGAGAGCACATCCAGTTAGTCACAGTCAGAGAAACAGGACTACACTGGAAAACAGGCCAAGCTCCAACATCTAGAAACAAAGGTGTTGATGGCAGCAGCACAGCTGATATTTCTCTCCAGGATGGAGTCACAGCCAGACAGGAACCCATTCAAAGCTCCTCCTCCTGTTCATCCCTGCACACCTCGACATTCAGCCATAAATGCTCCATGGAAGCGCTGCATGAATGCCGTTATGCATTTAAATGAGTCAGATGATTCATGTAATTTCATGGTTACCAATGGAACTGCAGCCAAGATAACGGAAAAGGGGAGTTTAACCGCGGGAGGACTAGATATGGTGGTCCGTGGGGCAGATAGTGAAATAATACTTTGGTAGGAACAGTAGTTAGGTGACAAATAAATAATAAAAAATATGAAATTCAACACAGTGATATTGATGATGTATGAATTATATTAAGGACAGCATGCAGTATAGCACCTATTGCTGGCTGCAGTGTCTTACATTTCTGGACATTTCATTGGATTATTTTGTTTCTAAAAGTGGCTTTGAGGCTTGATTACTCAATTGTTGATTATATAAAACACCAGTAGAGGGATTAGTGCTGGTAAGAGCTGTTTATCAGGAGCCCCAGAGTAGTTAAAAGGTGTAGTGAATGAAAAAAGAAATAGAAAAGTAGCTGACCAATCAAATTGTTATGATTCAGGTGTATTACATCTGCTATTATTTACAATTAGGGGGGAGTATTGGCATGTTTGTTGCTTTATGATGCCTGTCAGGATACTTGGGTCACGATACGATATTATCACAATATTGCAATACCACTATATATTGATATATTTTACCCTGCTATCAAAATGAAAAGCAAGTGCTGTATATGTTCATCATGTTGTTTGGGGTTTGAGTGCTTGTGTTCTGCTGTGACTGCCGCAGCTACAGAGATGGAGCTTCGCTGCACAGTAAAAAGGCTCCACGGTTTTAGTTTTCAGAGTGGCGGTGCAGAGGTCCTCCATTTTTCCTCATTATTTTGGGTGAAAATGAATTAAATTGAATTTTTTTGGAAAATCGATATGAGAAACTAAAAGATCGATATTATATTGGACAACTGAATATCGCAATATATTTCTAATCCTCTATGTTCCCCAG